ACCAAGTGACCATCATACCATGTGATCATCACACCAAGTAACCATCATACCATGTGACCATCACACCAAGTGACCATCATACCATGTGATCATCAACAAATGGCCATCACACCAAGTTGTCACATCAAGTGACAATCACACCAAGTGACTGTCACACCATCCCATCAAGTCACCATAGCACCACCAAGTGACACCTAGAAATAAAACATCACCAACACCTAGCACTAAGCCATCCCCTAGTGACATCTAGAACCACAAATGCCACCACTACCTTCTGCCCTCAGTGCTGCCAGGAGCTACAGCTTCCAAGGGATCCTAGAATCACAAGTCCCACTTGAGTCTAGAACCATAAAAATGCTATTAATATCTGAAATTACAACGTCCCCCAATGCCTGGGACCAAGAGTTTCTGATACTTAGAACGTGGGCCACACATTCATTCCCCTTATCACTGCACTCATACTTTAAGAGAGAATTGCATCGCCTTATGACCTGGAGGCACAATGGTTAAAGTGTTCTGCTGCTAATGGAAGGGTTGGCGGTTGGAACCCACCAGCAGCAACATGGGAGAAAAGACCTGGAGATCTGCTCCTGTAAGGATTACAGCGTAGGAAACCCTACGGGGCAGTTCTGCTTTGTCCTGTAGGGTCACTATGAGTTGGAATCGACTTGATGGCGCACACAACAGTGACCCGGGAATGAGGACGAAGTGGGGGGGTAAAAGAATTTGGGGTGAGATCTATGCGACGGGCCCATTCCAACAGTGTGTGCTTGACCATGTGGGCCACGAGAGAGCCACAGCTTGCCTGGGCATTCCTGGCCAGGAAGGCAGCCTCGTTGTCACCACCCCGTGTCTCATCCAGGTGGCACTGCTTGTGTTCGCCGTCCACACTCTGGTGGCCAAGGAGAATGCCATGGACGCAGAGAAAGCCTTCGTGACCCTCACAGTTCTCCACATCCTCAACAAGGCCCAGGCCTTCCTGCCGTTCTCCATCCACTCCGTCGTCCAGGTGAGCCCAGGGCTGGAAGCTGTCTCGGAAGAGCCTTATGGGAGAGTGAGCGGTGCCTTGACTGTATCCACCTTTGGCCCACTGTCAGCAGAGGGAGAGGAGAGAGACAGGGAGTGAGAAAGGAGCAATGGAAAGGAACAGGAAAAGAGGCAAGGAGGGGCAGAGAGTGCAGCAGAGAGACGTCAGAAAGGGAAGTAACCTTTGTCCAGAAGGCAATATGGTGACCTCAGTAAACATCCTCAAAATAGGCAGACTCGTCAGTATGTTGATCATTCCAGTTCCCTTTTACACAGAGCAATTTGATTTCTTTCTTCACTATCTCTATTCCTTACAAATTGTACCCCTTGGGCGTGATGGGATTAAGAAAATGGTTGCATAACTGAGCCACTCATATTTTAAAGGCTGCTGCTTTAGTTACCAAAGTTGGGTGGTGTGGTGGGAAGCAAGCAGGGACCTCTCAGCTGGACAAAGTTTGAAATTATTTCTTATAATGGCTTGATGATGCTACTGGAAAAGTCGCCAGCCTCTTGCCCAGTCTTGTCTGCAGAATGGCAGGTTGACTGTTCCAATTACGCTAATTAGGACTGAGGAGGTGGAGGGGACCACCACCATCAACGTCACCACCTCAGTGTGTACTGTTTCTGTAACCTAGGAAGCCCCAGACTAGGGCCTTGCAAATGCGTAGGGCTCTGTAGATGGGAAGCTTTTCCCGCACATCTTGGGGTATCCAGCACCTGAAGCCTGAGTTCTTTGCTCTCTGGCATTGGTGACCTAGGGCTTCGGTTTCCGCAGGCCCGGGTGTCCCTTGACCGCCTAGCCACCTTCCTCTGCCTGGAAGAAGTTGACCCTGGTGCTGTGGACTCAAGTCCCTCTAGATGCTGTGAGTTTTCAGTTCAGTGTGGGAGTGGGGCAGTGGGGGGACTGGGGGGCTCCCCCAGCCCACCAACAGAAACCAGCGTCCTAGCTAGGGAGAGACGGTGGGGCTCCTGGGAGCAGGGTAGCACATTCCCCTAAAGGTATACACTGGTCAGAGTAACACAAAAACCAGTGCTAAAAGGATGCTACAGATGATAGGAGACGACTGTCATCTCATGTCCCAACTTCAGGACAGCCTCTTGTTCATACTTTTTAGGCTACAACGGATAATGGGTATAAATTTGAACTAAAGTAGATTTATATCAATGAAAGGAAAAAAACAACAGCTAATATTTTCCAAGCGTTTACCATGTGCTGACGTAGTTCAAAGTGCTCTCTATGCTAATTAACTGAGCTAACCCTCACAGCAACCCCATGAGGTAGATGCTTCTGTGACCCATTGTACAGATGGGGAAACAAAGGGGAAGGAAGAGCAGGATCCCAACACCTAAGACCATTTAGAAAGGAAGATCCCCTAGAATTGGTTCCCAGATTTACAAATAAAAACAGAGAATGCCCAGTTATATTTGAATTTCAGATAAACAACAAATAATTTTTTATTGTAAGTATGCCTCATGGAATATTTGGGGCATACTAAAAACTTATTTGTTGTTTACCTGAAATTCAAATTTAACTGGGTGTCCTGTATTTGATCTGACAACATTACTGGAAAGAACATCAAGCTGAGTGGGTATCAAATTGTGGCTGCTGGTTGGAATCACCTGGGGAGCATTTAAAGCTACCAATGTCAGTCCCTTCCCACCCCCACCCTCCCCATTCTGCCTTAATTGGTTTGGGCTGGCCCGTGGGCACCTTTGTTTTTAAAAATCTTTCCAGATGATTCTATATGTGCCTTCAGGGTCAAGAACCACTAATCTGGTTCCTCCCCCTCATTACACAGATTAAGTATGTGAGACCTAGAGGGGGAGGGGAAGACGGTAACATCCCAGAGCAATGTCACTTCATTCACAAGCTCTTAGTGAAGGTCCATTTGGAGCCGAGCACAGACCAGACATTTCCAATGGTGTGATCAACAGGCATTTATTACTCACAGAATAAACAGGCCAGGGATGAGGAGAACACACATCATCAGCAGCCTAGGTTCCCTGGAGTTAGGCTCCTGTCCACAGGGTTACATTGCATCCAAGAACGCACCAGTTCACATCTTGGGAGGAAGCAACGCCTAAATTCCTCTCTCCTGGGATTAAACACTGATCGGACAGCCACGTCTCCATGCCAGGTAGCATGTGCAGAGAACAGGTCGGGGAAGGAGTAATGAAACGGGGCAATAAAAGGTAAAAAGGGGTAATAAAAGTGAAAGGCCCCTCGTAGGCAATGAACACTATTTATTGCCCTTGATCGGGCTATTCTAGATTTACTGACGGCAGAGAACATCCCTTCCTCCTCTACCCCACTAAGATAGAGTTCTGGGCTTCTTCAGAGGGCAGTCATCTCCCCGTAAAGCACACGTACTCGACTTTATGTCCATTAGTAGACGGCGAGGGGGCAATTATAATATAGCACACCTGTGCATCCAGTAACCCATTAACACCTGTTGTCCTGGTGAAATCAATAACACACCATTTCAACTCTCTGAAGTATCCTGGATTGGGTGATAAATTATATCAGCAGTCCACCTGCTTTTTCTCTAAAGGATCAGGGAGTAAATATTTCAGCCTTGTGGGCTATCTCTGTCCCAACTACACATTATAGCAAGAAAGCAGCTGTAGACAATGCATAAACAAATGGGTGTGGCTGTGTGCCACTAGAACTTTATTTACAAAACTAGGCAGTGGGCCAGATTTGGCCCTTGGGCCATGGTTTGCTACCCCTGAATCATACAGCCATTTGATAGGGAGAGAATGTGACTTGCCCAGAGTCACACAGCAAGCCAGTCAGTAGCAGGGCAATTTGTTCAAACTGAGATTTCCCACTGTACCTGCTGCCTCTCAGGAGCAGGACCAGGTGGTCTCTCTGCAAGGCTGACCAGCCAGGTGCATCCTCCTAACTGGCCTTTTGTGCCCTGCAGCTGCCGGGGAGGACTGCATCACTGTACACCATGGAACCTTCGCCTGGTCCTGGGAAGGCCCTCCCTGCCTCCAGAGGTACAGAATGGTGTGCCTGCTAACGACCTTTGCATTTACAGGGAGAAGATGGGCAGGCACCTGACGCTTCCTGTGTGCGAGGTGAGCCAGGCTTCCAGCGGGGCTGGAGGAGTGGGCTAGGCCGGGCCGGGATCTCTGCCAGGGAGATTCCTGGGACCCCAGCCCTGGTGCATAGAGTCTTAGGAAAGGAAAACAGTTGTGGTGCAGAGTGTGGAGCAGTGCATTTGGGCTTCCCCACCAGGGGGACACCCCTCTGCTTCCCATGTTGGCCAAGATGGCACCACAGAGGCCTGGCCAAGAGGAGCACCAAAGCTTAGCACTATCTGCCCCTCCTGTCTCAGTCCCCAGGTCATTGTCACCTCCAGCCCCCAACTCTGCCTGGGTCTTTGTGGCAGAAAACCCTACCCAGCTCCAAAACTCACTAAGAAGGGAAAGAAAGTACCGTGGGCAGGGAAAAAAAAAAAAAAAAGTTGCCATGGAGTTGATTCCCACTTAAACCAAAACCAAACCTGTTGCCGTCCAGTCGATTCCAACTCATAGTGACCCTATAGGACAGAGTAGAACTGCCCCATAGGGTTTCCAAGGCTGTAATCTTTATAGAAGCAGACTGCCACATCTTTCTCCCACGGAGTGGCTGGTGGGTTCAAACCGCTGACCTTTTGGTTAGCAGCTAAGCACTTAACCACTGCACTACCAGGGATCCTTTTATTCCTACTTATGCCTGATTTTTTGGATGTAGATCACCAGGCCTTTCTTCTGATGCACCTTGAACCACCAATCTTTCAGCATTTGCACTAGCCAGGGATTCCACCCTAGGCAGTATTTGTATCTATTATTGTTCGTTCGTTCCACAGTATTTACTGAGCGCTTACTATTTGCTGGGCCCTGTTCTAGGCACCGGGGATACAGCTGTGAACAAGACAGATGAGGTCCCTGATCTCTCGAGGCTGACATTCTAATGGAGGGGACACAGGAAATCAGGGTCGGGATAGAGTGTGATGCTGGGGGAAGGGTGCATGGAGAGTTATTTTAGAATAGGAGGTGAGGGAAGGCCTGGCACTTAAGCTGAGATCGTAATGAAGGGAAGGGGTGAGTCTGGCAGGTGTCTGGGGGAAGAGCTTTCTGGGCAGTGAGAACAGCAAGTGCAAAGGTCCTGAGGCTGGGGTATGCCTGGACCAAGGTTTCTCAGCCTCGGCACTGCTGACGTTTGGACCAACAGTTCTTGGTTGTGGTGGCTGCCCCATGTATTGTAGGACGTTCAGCAGTGTCCCTGGGCTCTTAACTACTAGATGCCAGAGGTCAGGAGTAACCCTCTCCTAGTTGTAACAACCAAAAATGTCTTCAAACATTGCCAAAAGCCCTTGGGGGGCCAAAACCACCTTTGGTTGAGAACCACTGGCCTATTGTGTTCAAGAACAGCAAGGACGTAAGTTGGTGGAGGCAGTGAGTGGCTCAGGCAGAGTGGTAGGAGATGGGGTCAAGAGGTGATGCAGGCCAGATGTGCGAGACGTGGTCAGTGATTGTCAGGACTTGGCTTTTAACTAGAGTGAGAAGGGAGCCAGTGAAGGGTTCTTAGCAAGGGGTGTCGTGATCTCCACTCTGGCCACTGGGTGGAGAATAGATTGCAGAAAGTGACGGGGCAAGGACAGAGCAAGCAGTGAGAGCAGCCCGGAGCCTCCTGCAGCAACCTAGGCAAGAGATGGTGCTAGTGAAACCCTCCTGCCACTGGGAAGTCTCCGTGTGTATGCACTGTGCACACTTGGAGTGAGTATGCACATGCCTGTGTGTGTGCACTTGAATGTCTGTATGTGCATGTGAGTGCATGTGTGTGCTCTGTGTATACTTACAGCGTGTGTATTTGTACATGTGTGCATATGGGCACTTACATGTGTGCATGTGTGTGCACATGTGTGCATGTATATAAGTGCGTGTGTATGCATACCTGTGAATTCCTTGCATGCATAAGTGTGTGCATGAGTGCCTGTGTGTGTGCACTTGTGGCAAATATGCACATGTGCGTGTGTGCATGTATGCACTTGAGTGTGTGCATGTGTGAGCATGCATTCATGAGTGTGTACACGAGTGTGTGTGCATATGAGTGCATGTGTGTGTGCATTCATGAGTGTGTACACGAGTGTGTGTGCATATATGAGTGCGTGTCTGCATTCATGAGTGTGTACACGAGTGTGTGTGCATATACAAGTGCGTGTGTGTGAGTGCATGTGTGTGTGCATTCATGAGTGTGTACATGAGTGCGTGTGCATATATGAGTGCATGTGTGTGAGTGTGCATTCATGAGTGTGTACACGTGTGTGTGTGTGAGTGCATGTGTGTGTGTGTGCACATGTGTACATGCACAAATGCACGGGAATGGCTGCTTGGCTGGCCAGACAAGGACTGGGTAGGGAAGAACTGCCCTCTCGTGTCCTCTTGGTGACTTCCCGGATGAGTCGCCAGCAGGTGGGCTCAGTTTGGGGCTCACCAGTTCTGCACAGACAGCCTGGGCCCTAACCAGGGCCACAGCTTCCCTCCTGTGTTGCCAGGATAAACCTCACGGTGCCCCAGGGCTGTCTGCTGGCTGTCATCGGTCCAGTGGGGTCAGGGAAGTCCTCCCTGCTGTCCGCCCTCCTTGGGGAGCTGTCAAAGGTGGAGGGGTCCGTGAGTATCAAGGTGAGGCCGCACGTTCCCTGCCTGTGTGGTAGAACCATCCCCATCCTACAGGCCCCCCTGCTCCCTCCCTGGTCCTCCCCAGTCACCCAGATTTCACCTACCCCACCCTTCTCCCACCACCCCTCCAAAAGTGCCCCTGTCTCTGTCAGTGGCCAAGGCAAGCTGTGTTTTAGGGTCCTGTGGCCTACGTGCCCCAGGAGGCCTGGCTCCAGAATGCCTCCGTGGTGGAGAATGTATGCTTCCAGCAGGAGCTGGACCCGCTGTGGCTGGAGAGAGTCCTGGAGGCCTGTGCCCTGGGGCCAGATGTGGACTGCTTCCCTGCAGGAGTCCACACCCAAGTCGGGGAGCAGGTGGGGTCTTGCGCCTTCCTGGGAGCCATTGCAGTGGGGCCATTTGTTCACTGGTCCCTGGGTGGTGTGGAGGGAGGTACGGAGGGGAAGACACAGGGGAGCAGGGACATAGGAGAGCAGGCAGACCCCGCTCTGGGCCACGCACATAGTAGGTGCTCAATAAACAGTAATGAATGGATGATTGAAAATAGAGAGACAGGGAGAGGCAGAGAAACAGGACAGGGGTTGGTGGTGACAGACTTTCCAACCCTGGGGTGAGGAACCTGGACTCTTGTCCTGCCCTTACCTGCGTTGATGGGCGATGCAGGCAAATTGCTTCCCCACTCTGGGCCTCAGCAAAGGTTCTGGGTGATGATGTCCAATAAACAGGATATATGAAGCTATGGATGGGCAGGGGTCGGCAAACTGCAAGCCATGGGCCAAATCTGGCCTGCAGCCTGTATTTGTAAATAAAGTTTTATTGGAGCACAGCCACGCTCATTTACTTACTACTGTCTGTGACTGTGTTTGTGCTACAACAGCAGAGCTGAGCAGTTGCAACTGCCCTGTAAAGCCTAAAATAGTTACTACTTGGCCCTTTATGGAAAACATTCGCCAGCCCCTGGATTAGGGAGTTGTCAGTGCGACAGCAGAAGTTAACGTGAAGGAAGTGGGTAAGGTTTCCTGGGGAGAAGAGGGCCCGGGAAGGGTCAGGAGGTAAGGAGCCCCCCGTGTGGGCTGAGGGCAGAGGTGAGCCAGAAAGAGGCTGAAAGGTGCGTGCAGGAAGGTAGGAGGAAAGCCGGGGTGGTGGTGGCGGGTGTCGTAGAGGCCGAGGGGAGAGTGTTTAAAGAAGGCAGGAGGGGTGCCTTGGTGCTATGTAAACTTAGTCCAGCCTTGACCTGTGCGAAACCAAACGTCTGATCCCAGTACCTCCTCCTCCCACTGCCTACCCACCTCCAATGATGAAAGCTCCAGCTTCCCGGAAACTCAGGTCCCAAACCTTGGTGTCCTCCCTGAATCCTCCTTTTCTCTTACACTCACATCCAGTCCGTCCACCTTTGAAGCATACCTGGGATGTTCCGGTCCCGTCCACTCTGAACTCCACCACATTGCTTCAGGAACCTCCTACTGGCCTCCCTGTTTCCATCCTCACCCCCTAGTCGAATCCCAACCCAGCAGCCATGGGATTCTGTTAAAACGTAGTCGGATCACATCCCTCAGCTCAGAACACTCAGGTATCTTCCTGTTTTCCTCAGAGTAAAAACTAAAGTCCTGACGATTGCCAACAAGCCCCCCCCCCACCACATTCTGGCCCCAGTTATCTCTGACCCCATCTCCTGCCAGGCTCTCCCTTCCCACTTCACTCCAGCCACATGATGTTCCTTGAATAGCCAAAGCATCTCCCACCTGAGGGCCTTTGCACCTGCTGTTCCCTCTGCTTGGAAAGCTCTTCCCAGGGGTCCCTGTGGTTCATCCCTCATTTTTGTCAGGTCTCCGCTGAAGTGTCACCTTAATGGAGAGGCCTTCCCTGATCACATTCCCCAACACAGCAACTCTGCCCCCACCAGTACACCCCACACCGCTTTATTATTCCTCATAGCACTTGACACCATCCGATCTATTTATTTTACTTGTTTGTTTATTGTCTGTCTTCTGCCCTCCCCCTACCCCATCAGAATGAAAGATCCATGAGAGCAGGGACTTTGTCTTGTTCATTGCCGTGTCCCCAGAGCCTAGAACGCTCTGGATATATGGTAGACCAGTTGCTGTCAAGTAGACTCTGACTAATGGTGACCCCAGGTGTGTCACAATAGAACTGTGCTTCCATAGTGTTTTCAATGGCTGATTTTTTGGAAGTAGATCCCCAGGCCTTTCTTGCAAGCACCTCTGGGAGGACTTGAACCTCCAACCTTTTGGTTAGCAGCCAAGCACATTAACCGTTTGTAACATCCAGGAACCACCAGGCAGAGACTCCGAGTATATAGTAGATGTGCAGTGAATATTAGATGAATGAGTGTGTGAAAATAAGGACCAGAAAGCTCCCACTAGATTAGGCAACAAGGGAGTGATTAGTGTCCTTGGAGAAAGTGGTGTCAGTGTAGAGATGGGACTAGGAGCCGGAGTGAATGAGAAGTGAGTGGGAGGAGAGAAAGCAGAGACGGAGAACGCAGACAGCTCCTCTAGGAAGCTTGACTGTCCAGGGGAGAAAAGAAGCTGGGTGGAGGCTGGAGGGGACACCGGCATGTGAGCAAGTGGTTAAAACTGGGAGGTGACCCGGGTGGATGGGCATAGTGACACCCTGCTTTGAGGCTCCAACATGCCCTGACCCACAGGCCCTGCTTGTGGCACCTGCTCCACCCTGCAGATGGAGACTTAGGCCCCTGCCCCTCTCTTGTGGCCACAGGGCATGAGTCTCTCAGGGGGCCAGAAGCAGCGGCTGAACTTGGCCCGGGCCGTTTACAGGAAGGCTGCAGTATACCTGCTGGATGATCCCCTGGCGTCCCTGGATGCCCATGTCGGCCAGCAAGTCTTCAACCAGGTCATCGGGCCTGGCGGGCTGCTCCAGGGAACGGTAACACTGGGGAGGAACATGTGTCAGAGGAAGCCTAACCCAAATCTACTTCACCACCCCCTCCTTGAGTTCCAGTCTCCTTTTTGTGTCGGTCAGCTGTTGCTGTGATGATGCTGCATAACAAGCAGCCCCCAAAGCTCAATGGCTTACACCAGCAAAAAGTTATTTCTTGCTTACGGGTCTGTGGTCCAGCTATTCCAGCTCTGCCCTGCAATATGGGCCAGGTGCAGGTGAGCTCCATGTGTCTTCTGGTTTTGAGACACAGATGGAAGGAGCCCCCTCTATTGGGGCATGCTGTTTCCAAGGAAACAAACAGAAGTACAACAGGAGGAGCCTGCCAGGCACTGGCTCTCCCCACTCTCAGCCCAGGGACACCCTCCAACCCCCGCACAGTTCTGGAAGGCTGGTCAAGCAAATGAGTGTAACTTCTGCCCCTTTCCTCCTCAGACACGGATCCTCGTGACCCACGCGCTCCACATCCTGCCCCAGGCTGATCAGATCGTGGTGCTGGAGGACGGGGCCATCACAGAGATGGGCTCCTACCAGGAGCTTCTGCATAGGAATGGGGCCATGGTGGACCTTCTGAGTCGGGCCAGGCAGTCAGGAGATGGAGGAGAAGGAGGTACTGGCTGTGCTTTGCTGATTCTCTGTGCCTGGCCCCTGCCACCCTTGGGGAGAAGGCGCTAAGGGTCCCACTGGCGTGAGTGTGGTGCTCTGGCCATACCCTCCCTGGGGGCTGGACCTAGAGGCAGATAGCTCTCTCAAGAGGCCACCCGTCCCCTCAGTAAGACTCCATGGCACCTCCTATGAGCCCAGAGCTATGCTAAGTGCTTCTAGAAATACACACGTTTCTTTTTCTGTTCACAACACCCCTATGAGGCACAGGTGATTATTGCTGCCATTTTACAGATGAGCACACTGGAGCAAAAAGAGTTCAGTGACTTGTACAGGGTCACAGTGATGGAGCTAAGGTTTTAACTCCGGTGTGTCCAGCTCCGGAGTTTATGATCTTAACAGCTCCAGAGACTGAGCAAGAAGGTCACTGGTGCCTAAAGACCAGAAGTCCTATGACGTGCTAGCAAGGGCCTCTAATAATCCAGAGAACATTTATCCAGGGCTGCTGGATAAATTATGATATTCTGGAAGAAAGGTAAGTGATCTGAGCTCACACACCAAATCCCTTGCTATAGAGTGGATTCCACCTCATAGTAACCCTGTAGGACAGAGCAGAACTGCCCAACGGTTTCCAATGCTGTAAATCTTTACGGAAGCACCCTGCCACATCTTTCTCCTGCAGAGCGGCTGCGGGTGGTGGGTTTGAACTGCCAACCTCTCAGCAGCCGAGTGCTTATCCACTGTGCCACCAGCACACACACCAAAACACACTGCCATCGAGTCGATTCCGACTCATAGTGACCATATGTGACGAGAGTAGAACTGCCCCATAGGGTTTCCAAGGCTGTAAATCTTTATAGATAAACAGATCGCCACATCTTTCTCCTGCAGCTCACATACACAGTAAGTGGAAAATAACAGCTGATGGCACTCCGTAGGCTCACTTAACCATCATGATGCCCTTGGGAGGGCGGTACTATAATTATCTCCACATTACAGATGAAGAAACTGAGGCCCACAAGTTATGGAACTTGCCCAAGGTCACCTGGCTTATAGGTGGTGGTGCTGGGATTTGAATCCAGGCAGCTTGACTCCCAAAAATGTGCTTTTAATCATGAAGCTATATACTGCCCTGCCATGACAAAAGCACTGGGCTTTGAACCAGTTCGTTCTGTTCCAATCCCCTGCTGAAAATTTGCATTTCTAATAAGTTCCCAGGCGATGCTAATGCTGCTGGTTAGGAACCAATTCTGAGAACCACTAGTAGAGCAGTAGTTCTCAAAATTTATTATACATAAGAATCACCTGGGGATCTTGTTAAACTGTTGATTCTGATTCGGTGTATCAGGTGAAAAGGCAAATTCTCAGCAGGGGTTCAAACCATAATGAACCCCTTCGAAGCCCTGCACAGGCAGGACTCACACTCTGGTCTTCCCAGTCCCAGGCTCTGCCCCTCCTGAAAACATCTGCCGAGCGCTGGCCGCCCTGGTAGAAGTCCTGTTTGTAGATTCACAAAGGCAACATCCTGGAGCCTGAAGAGCGAATCCAGCCTGGGAAAGTGGGGAGACGGGGCTTCCTAGACAAGGCACTACCTGAGGTTGGGTGGGAGTTCTCCGAGGAAGAACATTCCAGGCACAAGAAACCCCTTGAACAAGGGTGTCAGGGAGCCGGGAGCAGTTTGACTTTGTACAGTGTTCACGCATGTTTTTACAACCCCAGGTTCATAGGAGGTGCTTAGTGGTATTTATTTGTGAATGAATGAATGAGGTACCTGGAAGAGCCCAGGGAGGGCTGAGAGAGGACACTGGAGAGGTGACAGGAGCCAGAGCAGACAAAACCAGGAGCCAGAGAGGTTAAGGCCACTCAGGCAGTGGGTGTCAAAGCCAGAATAGGAACCCGTGGTGCTAACCCTGCTCTCCTAACCATCGTGTGACAGGACTCCCTTGATCTTGCAGAAACAGACCCTCTGACCAGTGCTGAGGACTCCAGAGGCTCCCCTGGAGGCGGGAGGCCTGCGGGCAGACGAGAGAGGTCAGTTCAGTGGGGTGTTGAGAGCTAGAAGGGCTCCGCTGATGCTGAAAGGTGGTCCGCTGCATCTCAGGCAGGTGGGGGGCAGCCAAAACCATTATGGATTGAGCACCTGCTGAATACCCACTGTAGTGTGGTGCTTCAGTTGAGGGATGATTCGCCAAAAGCTAACTGACAATCAGTTTGCCAAAATAATCAAGTCCCCAGATGGCCAGTTCACCAAATGACCAGTTTGCCTCGGGTGTGGGATGAATACCTAAAAGTAGACTGAAGACGGCTTGTTGGGATTGCCTCATTGCCTGTGTGGGGGCAGGGCTGGTTGCAAAGAAAAGCCCTCAGCGTAGCTGTTAACCACACTGGGCCCTGGTGTGCATGCTTTGGCAGGCGTGCCATGCAAGGGTGTCGGGTCTACACCTGTGGCATCTCTTGGTGCTGGCCAGAAACACGGGTGGAGGGGTCAGCAGGAGGAGGCACACTGTCCACTTTTCTCCCAGCCCCCTCCAGAGGGGGGTGCATGGGCTGGGCACAGCTGGACTCACTGTGGAGCCTTCTGCCACAGAGGGACGTGCCACCGAAGTGGCACCTTGTAAAACAGAACAGCAGACCACCGGGGTCAGATGGCTTGAGCTTAGATGCCAGCCATTGGGGGGAGTGTGGGGAGACCTTGGGGGACCTTGCTCCCTGTGAAAAGTTGAATCTGAGCATAGCCCCTCCCCCATCCAAGCTAGCCACACTGAGAGCACTCCTGGGTCATACACTGGGCAATCCTGCTTGTCTTCACAGTGTGTAATAAGCTTAAGAAAGATGAGATGGATGGCTGGACAGATGGATGGACGGACAGCGATATAGATGATAGATAGAGATGATGGATGGG